TTTGCTTTTTATTGTATGATACATGCGCATGACCTGGTAATGTGCAAGATTATTATTTTCACCTGTCAAATAAGATGTTTTTTTTTTCTTTTTTTGAACATTTTCTTTCTGAACTCGTGTGAAGGTTTTTTTTCAAAGAAATATTTGAAAAGGGCAGAGTGAGAAACACCTTAATCTTTGCCTAAAGATAATTGTACTGTTTGTAATGATATAATCAGAAAGAATTCCATAAAGTGTTCTGGGAATTCTTTAAAAATTTTTCTTTTATTTATTATATGTTTTTTTTTAGTAATAGAGGCAAAGAGTAAAAAATGATAGAATTTAAGAAGAAAATAAAGATTTGAATGTTTTCTGTTTTGTTTTTGATATTTTGAATTACTACTTGTGGTTAAAAGTGCAGATCTTGTTAATAATAGTTTCACAAGTTTATAGTCTTTAAGAAAATGAATATTTATTTCTGGGGGGGAATTACGTCTCTCTCACTTCTAGGCCCTGGAGTTAAAGTTGGCATCTTGTCGTACTCTGGTCAGAGAACCACTACCAATACTTGACAACGAGGGCCGTTTTAGCCCTATTTCTCCATCGTAAGTACAGTATTAAAATTTTAAAGTTTAGTTACATCATGAGGTTTGAAAGAGTGAAAAAAATTTTGCCTTTCAAAGTTGCATTTCTGTATCAAATTTTATCCATGAAGGTCTAGGAAATGTTTTTGAAAATAACAATTTTATAGGGTATTGAGCCACGATGGCCCAAAGTTCGGTTATTTGTTCATAGTTAATTTTCACTTATATTATAATAATGCTATGTAGTGCATGAGTCTTGTTAGTTTCAAATTATGGAAGATTAGTTATTTAAGAATTTCTGACCAAGCTTACCGATATTGAAGTTTAAAAATTAAGTGAAAAATTTAACTATAAATGAATAACATATCATACGTATATGACAAATGACAACAAAAAGATGTGTATTTTTTCACATGGGGCACATAAACTTAAAATATAAAGATGGTCTAGTTTATTTGTGAAACTAAGAATAAACTTTTGAAAATGATTTTAAATGTACAAAATTTGAGAAAAAATTAAACCATTCTTTCTGAGATGTTTCAGTTGGGCTTAGTATTTTTTTATAAAATAACTTTTTGTAATTTTGGATAAATAATAAGGTCTTACTGTGAGATACAGTTTTAGTTTTAAAATCATTTTTGAATTTCACTCATCATTTAATGATACCTTATTTAATACAAATTTCTCAGAAGATTACATTAAGAGCAAGATGTATGTACGCTGTAAATATTTTTGCACACGAGAATACACCGTAAAATTGCCTTTTATTTATTGTCAGAGAAATTACTGTATAATATCAATTAATTGATTAGTCATCTCTTTTTTTTTCTTTTCTTTTTTTAAAGGAAGGTGCAACAGTTAACCAGAGGGTCATCCTTGTCAAGTCATTCGGACTGCATCCATCTTATAGCATCATAATTGTAATGCCAACATCATTAAACTTGTTTTAGCACAGTATGTACATGTGGCTGTGGTAAGCTTTGTTCTATCCACTCACAACAGGTGTAGCTTAAATTCCAAACTCTCAGAGTACATTTATTCTTTGTCATTGCTAGATTACCTGCAAAGCTGTGTACAGAACTAATATTAACTGTACTTATTCCTATAGCTACTGTTCAGTGTGTTGCACATTTTTTGAAATGTAATTTATGAAGATGAAGTAAACTGCTGATCTTGATTCTCCTTTTCTGGAAATGATATTAGTTGATCAAGTAAATGTTTGTGACAGGTACATATCTTTGTTTGATTACTTATCAGTATGCAAAAAGTGAAGTAGTAATCTTGTGTATTGTTAAAAAATTCTTTCTGACAAAGCAACAATTTAATATATAAGGAGACAAATCTGGGTTAATAGTTTTATTTGCTTCTTGCAAGCGGTAACCAATTTTTTAATGATCTCTCCAGGAGGAAATCCTGTTTGAAAGTTTTGTGTTACAAATGATAAACATAAAAACCAGCTCCAGGTTCTTAGCTGTAATCGCATGCTGAGTGAGTTTCAGCTTTACTGTTAATTCCACCTTGAGTAAGAATTTCTGAAGTGTGCAGAACTGCCCTTTGCAAAAAATTCGAAAATGATCAGTATAAACTAAACAAAAAATTAAAAATACAATATCTTCAGTTTATTTATGCATCAAATTCTGTGTGTGAAATAATGACACTTTATTTGTGGTGTAGTTTGCTTATGAAATTTTAGAAAAAATTTACTCACAAATCAACTATTCAATATGAAACTGATTTACAATTATGGACAACCAAATTAATCATTTTTAGTGATTTTGTCAAAGTAAATTATAATAAAATATATTTTGAATTTAAGGATTCGATTTTAGCTTTAATTTGGGTAGGTTTGTTTTTAATGGTAAAAAAAACTACTTAATTTAAGACTATTTTAGGTTATACAGATCTGAGCTAATGATAGACTAAATTATATGTGTTTTAAACAGTAAAGGTCACTTGAAGTTTAAAAAGAACTTGTTTAAGTATTTGTTGTGATTTTTTTGTTAACAGTGCCATTCATTCAAAATTTCTGTTTACAAAATACCTCTCAAATTTGCATTGTTGTGACTCCGACTCGCGTGTTGAATTTGTTTAAATATTTCCATTATATTAGTAGACCAATCTAAATGAAAAGGGTTTAATGAAAGAAAAAAAAGGTGATTAGTAAATTAGTTTATTATATGTATTACTCTAAACAACAAGTTATCTCAAGTGTAACGAAACAGAAGAATGTAGACATGTAGATGGGATTGGATCTTATCTCTCAGCTTGAAAAATTAACTAATTCCATGTTTGATAGATTCAGATTCATTAATAAGTGGTTGTTGTTGTATATGTAATACAGTTTAATGAAATATAAAACATATTCGATAGTTAAATGATAGATCTAAATATATCTCGGATTAAGTGTAAAATAAAATAAATAAATTTCCCTTATTTGAAATATCAGTTTTCTGTTAACTAATTTTATAAAATCTTTATATATTTATGAATAATTAAAACTCAAGTTGTATTACCACAAGTTTATGACTTGAATATCTAATTTAACTGTTAGAAAATAACCAACTTTTCTGGTTAGGCTTACAAAACTATGTATGCATATACAGTTTTGTTTTTCCATTGGCTCCTAAAAACAATAAATATTTGAATAACTTGGGTTAGATACTTCAGATACTGCACACAAAAATATAATCAATTATTTTGATACAATATTTGAGACACTTACCTCAGTTGTGCTACGTAATAAAAGTTTTAATTGATTTTAATTACCATCTAGGTAAACTACCTTAAATTTTCTGAACTTTCTAGTCAATATGAATATTTAAAAAATCCAATGACTAGTTAAGTATTAAACAGCACCATATTTTCACACATAAACACTTGTGTTTGTAAAAAACCATTGAACTAATAATACACATGGGTGATGTTAGAATTTCCGAGAGCAAGATAAGAATAATATGATGAGGTTTATAAGTGATAAACATGCAGAAAAAAGGGGGACAAGTTTCTGTAATAAGGAATGTAAACACAATACTACAGATTACTTGACAAACATACAAGAAGAGAACAGAGTATTACTGAAGTTAATATATCTTACCTTACAAACATACAGAAAATGAACAAACTTGTGATAAGGCACTTAACCCTAGAATAGAAGCATGTTTTTAATTTGTATGGGGTCATAATGACCCACACACACACTGGCATTCTAGGGCTAAATGGTGAAGATACAAAAGAAATTTAATGTAACAAGTCACTTGAACAGTAATTGAGGAGATGGCAAGTTTTTTTTTTTGTGTGATACAATAACTGAGTGAACATAAAGACAAAAAATAGGGTAAAAATACTGAAATTACAAACTAAGAGGACAGAATTAATGGGGTTGAATGATGAGGATGCATGACTTTTTTAATATATTTTTCAATATACCATTGAAGATTAGAAGACTGCTTCATGGATAATTGGATAGCTCTGGTTGTTGATGACACCTACGATAAGCACATGCACTTGGCAAACTTATTCTTAAGTTAAGCAGTTTTCCTATTGAGTAAATTATTCACTTAATGGTAAATTAATTAAACCAAACAAGGGAAACTTTTAAAAATATAATTGGTTGACTTAACTTTGTATTGTGCACTATGTATTTGCACATTGTTCTTGCTAGCAGCATAGTTTATAAAGCTGATACAACCAAAGAACTCGAGTAGTCGCAATCATCAACTATTCGATGACGAGGAACGCACTTTGATACTAATAATGGTTGGAGACGGCTTGAATGGGTAATGAAGAAAAACTTGTCATCATCAGGTACAAAACCTTGTCGAAACGTTGTACATTTGCTGTTATGTTAAACTTATATTAAAGTTTTTCTTCATTACCCATTCAAGCCGTCTCCAACCATTATTAATCATCAACTATGTTTTGCAACATTCTTAAGCTTGTACTTTTAAGAATTACTATGGCAATTGTTTTTTTTTTCCTTGACATTTTTCTACTTGTGATTTGTATACCACAACTAGCTTAAAAAGTGGTGTAAGTATTTGTTGAGTGAAGACTCCAAATGTTTCACGGTTGTTTAATTTTCTAAAAAATACACATTACATGAGTTAAATACACTTTAAAGAACAGCATATTATAGTGAACATTGCAATAAGAAGAAAAACTTAAAAAAGAAAGTCTTTGTTAAAAAAACAAATGATAATTTTAAGTGTATTCCAAAAACAAAACTGTTAGAAATGATCAATGTACTTTATAGCCCTCAGCATTATAGGTAGACACGATGGAGTACCAAACATTGAATGTGTTCAGACATGGCCCAGCTCCAAGGTTCATTTATAATAAATATCCTGAAAGGGTTCTCTCACCATTAGAAAGTTGGGTCTTTCCATCCGTTAATGTTTTTTCAGCTTGCAGATGCTGATATAGACAACTTGAACTTGATCTGCTCAATTAGTTGATCAACTCTTTCGGACTTGCCACCAAACTTATCAACATCGGGTCCTAACATCTGCATGAGAGTAGGAACCTGTGGTAGAGAAATTATAAGAAGTAATGCTGTTCAGTAATACATAAAAACCATTTCAACTTGTTTGTTATATAGATAAATCCAGTCACATATCATTTATGAATTATATTGTATAATGTGTGGGTGCATTTATGTTGGGTTGACTGTTGGAAGAAGAGGACAATTCAAGCATCGTTCAGGATCCACCAAGTGAATGAGACAATACAAGCTAAACAAAACTACACTTTCTGATTATACAGTTAACAAAGCTTATTTTTTCATCACATTACTCACATTGAGGACATGGGTTCATTTTAAGTGTGATGGTCAAATATCATTATTTGGTCCAACAACTGTTGACTAGCTGCCTTGTCTTTAGTCTTATCACTTCAGAATTAGGAATGGCTGGTTCACATAAATTTTTTCATTACACAGAGGGTTAAGTATGTTATATGATGATAAATTTAATTATGTAAATCAGTAAATTATGTGACAACCATAGGTGATATATATATTTACGTATATATATATATATATATATATATATACATAATTGGCGATGGAACTAAATTTACCTCAACTACATTTTGACATTGTTTGGCATTTCATAAATAGAATGATCGATTTTGAGAAGATTGTGTGACAATGCTCTCTGATGTGAAGTATTCAAATATTTAGATTATAAAGATGTGTTCAAATTGGGGATTTAGAATCTCCAAGACAGGAATATCCCTTGTACTTAATGACAGTAGTAGAAAACAAAGAAATATGGATCAACTTGGGAGGATAGGACTATCCAAAAGGAGACTTACAATAAGTCATACCCCAGTAGAAGTGAGTAAAGTGTAGAGTCTTTTTACAAGTGAGAATCCAAGACACAAAGATCACTGGCAAAGGTTGTCTGCATGACCGGGGCAACTTAATCAAGAAGGATCTCCATCCGGAAAAGCAACAAAAGTTACATCCATGAACATGTCACTCAACCATCCTTTATCTAAAGCAGCTGGAGAATGAAACTGGCATTCATGTTATTCCATATAAATACACGTAGATCAAGTTGCCTAACACAATGCGTATGGATATCATGGTGATCATACTATTGAAACGGATGCTGGAAAACCATCTTCTTCAGAACTAGATGAGTTGTGAAAAGGTGCATGGAGAAATGGTGAGCCTTACGATGAAGCTTTTTGCAATATATACTACACTGCAAGGTAATCGTGAATATTCATGGTTGTCAGGTAGAACATGACTGGATGTGGCAGTATGGAATACAAGGACGTGATGAGGCTCCAAATCGTTTTAATATAACAATCTCTGTATGATATTGAGTTTTTCGTTCTAGACTAAGGATAAACTTTCTAGTTGTATATTTTATGTCTACAAAATTGTTTGTGTTTACTAAGTTCTGGTTTGAAACATTCCAAATCTGGTTAAGGTCATGTTCAGGCTGTGGTGTTAGTTTTTGTAACTTAACCAGTCAAATAATTTATCTACTGTTTCATGAAATGGTTGCATCATGAACTACATGACCTTGCGGTTGTCAAATGGAGCTGAAATATTTCCGCATTCTGGTGCCCTTTTTCTGATTGGTCAATCGCAGAGGAAATATGTTTCGTGAATGTACTTTTGCTGATTTCGCGTCAGATTCATTCCAACTTTTCGAGAAAGAAGCACGTTTCATGGGTAAAAGCGCGAAGATTCATTATAAACATGGTCCGTTGTTTATCCCTACTCTTTCCTACCTGTCGATCAAGCACGTTTTATTTCAACTTCATGTTAATTTCAAGTTAAACTTGTTGTAATTTGTCTGTTTATTTTTTGTCTTGTCTTTTTCCACAACGCTATAGTTGCCGCAATGGCTATCAGTTATTTCTACGTTTTTGTTTGTTTTTTATTTCAAATAAAGGGTTTTATTTTGACGTCAGCACCCTAACCTGTCTCTTTCACCCGTCTTCTTGTTTTTGCGGAGATCGAGTGACTGTGAGCTGGGCTTATCCGTAAATTATGATAAAATTAACAGAGTTTACTTTTTCCTTTTTCTGTGTTAACAACAACAGTTTCTGGTTATGTACGTGTGTATTTTTTGATTCTCTAATGATTTTGTTGCACACAAACAGAATAAACATTCCCAAAATATAATTTATTACATAAGATCTCAATTATTTATTAAAATTTTTTATGGTAATCGTATTTTAAAAATTAAATACTTACTTCGTTAAAACTTATGTACATAAACTTCAGCAGCGACGTTAAACAGTAAAAAGCTGTAAAGAAAAAAGATTAAAACAATTTTTAAAAATCTCAAAATCTAACAAGACTATTTTATCTTAAAATAAGATAACTTTTTACTTAGGAATTAATCTTTTTTTTTTGTATAACTGTAACTTTAATCTCGTGAGCATTTAAAACTACCGCACATTATTCATTTTATGTTTATCACAAACCTAGACTATAATGCTTATTTCTTGTAAATCGGCTGCGTTCTAGCGTCCAATCTGGAATTATTTTATTATTTTCGGTATTCTGTTTACCACAGTTGTCAAATGCAAGTGTAACTTGTGAACAAGATTTTATTTAGCATTACATGTTTGACCAACTTGCTCACATTTTATACCTAGCAATCGAAGACTAGAAAAATGCACCAACTGACCAATTGAAATAGGCTTAGTCCTAGCTAAGGTTAAGCTAACATTGTCATTATATAAAAGACTGTTTGGATTATATATTAGTGATTATTTTGTGAGTGAATATTTTATTATTGTTACAATAAGAGTTAAAAGCAGACGATTGTAGGAAGTTTTGTTAATAATTCGTTGACGTCAATAGTATAGAAGGCGGACAGACGATTAAATGATAAAGATATAAATAGCGTAAGACGAGCGAGAAGCAGTAGACAGATAATAGCAAAATAGAATAGAGTTGGTGTGAAATTAACTACCGTAGAAGTTATAGGCCTAACGTTTAATACGTTAGAGTGAAACTAGCAGCAGAAAACAAGATACGAAGAATAATTTTATTCCGTCAAAGCGTGGTTCTAAAGTAAATGAATCAGCCTGAGTGCACTTTGACAAAAGGAACAGAGGATCTTCGCAAGAAAGAAGACCAAACGATTACGGTAACTCGCACCACAATTGTAAGTGAATCACAGAGAATACTAGTGCGATAGAAATAGAGAAGGTAGTTCGGCTTGTCAACTGAAATTCTAAAGTAACTGAATAGGCCTAAGTGGATATTTGACAAGAAGGAGAGAACTACATATACAGTATTTATGATATGTCCATAATATCTAGTGTTGAAGAATTTATTGTACATACGTTAACTTGTTATGAATATATATATATGTATTAATTTGAAAACAAGTGAAGTGCGCGCTGTTTATTAATCGTTGAATTTATCGCTATCAAGTCACAGACACCTACTGTAGAAGAATCCTAAGTCCAACAACAACATAGTATATATATTTATACTATTAAGAAATATAAGTTAAAGCCTTTTATTTGGCCAATTGGCGAAAAATCAGATTTTAAAATTCTGACAAACATGTTAGCAACATTTTTAGGTAATACTGTGTTGGGCAATTTACTATGATGTTAGTTCTTGTTTGTCGTGATTGGTATTTGGGTCACGTTTGACCCGGGAAGTTCAGGTTCCATTCGGACTTCTTCTTCCCTTCATGACAATGCTATTTCTTACACTCGGACCCTTTTCCATAGCAATACCCACGGATGTATTCCAAGCATTCTGTGCGTAGCAGATTCTTTTAGTCTGATCATAGCAATATCCATGGAGGTATTCCAAGCATTTTGTACATTGTGGATTTTCTTAGTCTGATTGTGCATACAGTCTTACACTCACAAACAGTTCCTTCACAAGTATATATAGACATTCTTTCAAGAATGTATTTACACACAAAATACTCTTTTTTTTTTAAATACAAAATCAAATAAATATCTATAGTTGTAAGTTATCTATCATTAGGGCCCCTCAGTAGCACAACAGTAAGCCTGCGGAGTTGTAACGCTAGAAACCGGGTTTCGGAATCCATAGTGAGCACAGTACAGATATCCCATTGCTTTGTGCTAACTACAAACAAAACTGGCAGTAGGTGGCCTCTTATTCAATCTAGTACACACATAATAACGAAGAAGTGCTCAGGACTATCATCATCATGTACGACATATCTAACAATGGAGGTTAGCAACTAATTTGTATGCTGGTTATTCCCCAAAATATTTTGCCGAAACGTTCAGAAGTTTGTTGCCAAAGCCGATACGTTTGCGTACGTGTGTAAAAATTATGAATTTGTAGTTTTAGGTAGCTGTTCACAGTTAATTTTGAATGGTTTATAGGTGCCTTTTGATGTGCGATGATGTTATATTTATCCATGCTGGACATGCATATTGTTTGACAGGTCGTATTTAGGTTTTATATATTCTGTGTGTATGTGCATCTATTTCTGCCAGTCAGACTCCTGATGTAGCTGACTCTTCTCCAAATTTTAGGTTTTATTGTCTGTACATGTTAAGTTTCGAATCATATATTACCTAAGAATTTAACCGATTTGGCTGCCTGGAGAAGAGTTTCGTCTCAATATAGTTTGTGAGATTGTTTGTTAGTTTTTATAGATTTAATCAATAAAACTACTTGTGTTTTAGTGATATTGATTCTACTATGCTGTTTATTGCATTAGTTGGCTACTGTACTTAGTACTGGTTGTAGGTAGGTTGCAGCTGTTGAGGGAGATGGGGAACTCTTCCATATAGCTACGTCGTCAGCAAACTGAGAAGTGAAGCAAAAATCTACATATATTAGTGGCTTATTACAAACGTACATTATGAATAAGATAGTACTCATTACCCCTCCTCGAGGAACACCTACCTCTGGACTAAAATACTCTGAGCAGGTTCCCTCAACATTAACTCGTACCTCTTTGTTCTCCAAAAAGTTTGATAACCAGTGAATAATACAACATGGAACACTAGACCGTAGTGTCATACACTGTCGAAAGCTTTCCCAATATCTAAAAAGCAGGCGATAGTGCATTCATTCTTATTAAAGCTATCTTCTATAGTTTCAGTTAATCTGACTAAGCGGGCTGTAATATGCCTGAATTTTTCAAAACTATTTAAAACTTCGGGTAATTTTGAGGTTCTTTCTGAGAACGTGGAAAGTCGGTCACTTTTTTATGCGTTCCAGAATTTTGCTTCAACAGCTAGTTAGACTTATTGGACAATGAATTTGAGGTTTATTCTTTTTCTCTCCTTCAGGAATATTTACTTGCTTGCAAAAGTTAGGTTTGTATCATTCAGTAACATTTGCTTGCTTCCAAGAGGTAGGTTTGTATCATTCAGTAACATTTGCTTGCTTCCAAGAGGCAGGTATGTATCCTTCAGGAACATGAGAATGTGGTCTTTAAGAATACAGCGAATATAATGTGGTTCGAATACCATTATTATACACAGTTTTATCTTTGAAAATCCCTAAGGGACTAAAAATCAGGTTTCGATACTCGTGGTAAGCAGAGTACAGATAGTCCATTGTATATCTTAACAACAATCTAAACCAAATAGTGGAAAAAAAGAACAATTTGTCGAGGTTTATAGGAGTATAATATATACTAATACATAGAAACATAAGTTTCTTTAAAAAACAAATCTTCTGAGAAAAACGTAAGACAGTCATTGCAAAATGAAAGTTTAGATACTATTGTAAGCTATTTTTTTCAACTTACACGTTTGTATTAATGTCAGTTAGAGGTAGTTTTGACGTTACATGATGAGTGCGTAATTGATTACACATCTGTAATTTCCTTGAAAGTTTTAGGAAATGATACGAGAATGGATAATGATTGATTAGTGAGTCTGTTACAGTGGTTAATTTGATCATTGAGTTAGTTTGTATGTTACTTAAGAGGGTATATTGCAATGAACTCCAGGTAAAAGTCTGCAAGAAGTAAAAAATACTCCCAAATAATGGCAGAAAAAGGAAAGTGCTATAGAGTAAAAAACATGGACGTGATATCTGAGACTATGATGAATCAGTCATTGATAATAAACTATATTCTGAACATCATAATATTACGTCTGCCCTAATAGAGATAAGGAGTGATTTTTTTAAAGAAACAAGTCCATGAGTCACCAGAATCATTGATGGGAAGCCTTGCAGTATATTCATCAACAATGGTTCTACAGCTACTATTTTCGTCAACAATTGTTCTACAGCTACTATTGATGATAAACAATGGCTCTACAGATACTGTTGTTGATCAACAATGGTTCTACGGCTACTATTGTTGATAAACAATGACTCTACAGATACTATTGTTCATCAACACAGGTTC